TTCCCTCCCTCTTCCTCCCCCGCCTCTGTCTCTCTCTCCCTTTATCTCTGTCTGTTTCTTGCTGTCTCTAGACCTGTGACTGTGTCTCTGTGTCTGTCTGCCTCCCCTCACTTGTCTGCCTGCCCCTTTTGTCCCTGTATTTCTGTGCCCTGCTGTCTCTCTCCTTCCCTCCCGCTGTTCATCTTGGGGCGGCCCAGCTCTCACTCTGCCTGTCTCCCTGCCTTTCTCTCCATTTCTCTGCCTCTGTTTCTCCCTCCCTCTCTCTGCTTCTCTGTCTTTCCTTCCCCTCCTCCTCTCTCTTCTCTCCTCCTGTCTCTCTGCCTCTCTCCCTCCTCTGTCTCCATCTGTCTCTTTCTCTTCCTCTTCCTGTGTCTCTGCCCTCTCTCTATCTCTCTGTCTTTCTTATCCTCCCTCCCTCCCAATCTCTGACTGCCTCTGTCTCCACCTCTTTCCCCCATCGTACTTCATCTCTGTTCCTCTTTATTGCTCTCTTCCTCCCTCTGCCCCTCCCTCTCCCTCTCCACCCTTCCCTCCCTCTCTCTCCCCTTCCCAACTGTCAGGCAGATGAGTCCTTTCATGATCCTCCCACACCTCCCGTGTCCCTTAGCCCTGCTGGTGTGTCCCCCGGGGAGGCGACCTGCTGTCTCTCCAGCAGCCTTCACTGCGTGCCATCTAGGTGCTCACGTCTGGATGGGGTTTCCTATAGCCAGTGACCCCGGGGTCCTTGTACACAACTCTGAAGAGCAAGTGGGAACTTCGTGCTGTCACCCTGCATCCTCTACTGCTGCCTGAGCTCTCAGGGGGGTTTGCAGCATGCTCAGGTTTGATTTGAATGCATTCCCAGCTCTTGGAGCAGGAGAAGAAGGTCTTCTGTGTCTCGCTGACCCAAAGACCAGCTTCTCAGTGGCTACAGACATGGAGCTGGGTGGGTGAGTGAGTCACCACGTGGCGTCTGAAGGAATTTTATTGTCCCCAGAAAGCGAGCAGGATGACACACACTGTTGTCCTTAACACAAAGATGCTGAAGGTTACTGACTGCCTTTTTCAAGTCTGTTGGAGGTGGCGGTAGTGTCTTCCTGCTGCAGCCCCGTGTCTGGTGTCTCCCTGACCTTCTCTGGGAGCAACCCAGGCCCTGAGCATTTCTCCATTGACCTAGATGTCCTGTCCCTCTGCCCCAGACTGCCCGCATCTCTTTAGGAGCATCCTCTCCTATACTCACCCATGACAGCCCGGAGGCGACGTGCTCACCCTGTTTCCCAGCCTCTCCCCGCAAACAAAAATGAACCCCACACGGGGGGCTGCACTGTCCTTGTGCATAAGGCAGAGGGACGTCCGGGGCTGCAGGAGCACTGTGCACAGCCTGGGAATTTGCTCTGTATGGGAGTCTTTCTGTTGTGTCTGCGTCCAGTCCTCCCAAGATAGCCGCAAGCAGCCACCCCTGCTGTTCGATGGGGAAAGTGTCAAAGATCCTTAAACAGATAGATGCGCCTGCTTCCCCGGAGGAGGCAGCTTGGGTTTCAGGGGAAAAGCCACAAGGACCACGAAAAGGATGCTCACATTCTGTACCTCTTCACAGTGGCGTGAATTTCAATTCTGTTTTTATTAGTCACCTCCCTCCCTCCCTCCATCCCTTCCTTTCTTTCCTTCTTTCTGTAGTTGGAATTGAACCAGAGCTTTTGCGCTGAGTTACATCCCAGCCCTTCTTTTATAATTATTTTAGGACATGATCTCTCTACATTGCCAAGTGGCCCAGGCAGGGCTGGAACGTGTGATCCTTCTGCCTCAGCCTCCCAGGGTGCTGGGATGACAGGGTGTGAGCCACTACACCCAGTATACATATATGTTCTCTCAGAAAGTCAAACCTTTGTGCAGAAAATAGGAAGTGCACCCATCGCTGCAGACTGCTTTGTTTGTGTGTGCATTATTATCTTAAGAAATTTCAGTGTCGAAGGGGCTTTCGTGGAAGAAAGAACATAATTTTGCAAACTAATCGTGCTACTAGGGTGTTGATAGATTCACCTAATTTGGAGCTTCTGACAGCTTTATGAAGGTTTAATTTGCATGCGGTAAAACTCCAATTCCGAAACTTTTAATATGTTTGTTAAGCTGTACAACCCTAGCCACTGTCTAGTTTTAGAGCCTCTTCTCCAGCCTGGAAAGATCCTCCTGTGACCTGTTTGGAATCCCAAACCCCAGCCCCCAGCCTCATTGAATTCTGGGCTTCACATGCTAGGACTTTTTCATATATTCCAAGTACGGTTTCACCTGGGGTCCTAGCATGTGCGGGAAGGCCTGTGATGGCCGTGTGTGTGTGTGTGTGTGTGTGTGTGTGTGTGTGTGTGTGTGTGTGTGTGTGTGTGTGTGTGTGTGCATGTGTATGTGTGTGTCTGGCTTTATTCTGTTTTGGGTGTGTGTGAGCTTTGTGCCTGCCTCTGTCTCACCTTCTGTTTTGAGTAGAAATATAGGCTGGCAAGTGATAGCAGAGCCAGGTGTTTCTAATATGCCCATCAGGGGGTGTTCACAGAGCACCTACTTCCAAACCTGAGCCACAGAGTTTCTGCTAGGAGAAAGGGCAGCCTGGGGGGAGATTTGTCCTGATAGAATTCATTTCTCCTTCATTTGGCAGCTTTCCGTCACCTGATCGCGTAGGGGGTGGAAAAAGACAAGGATTGGATCAGAGAGAGACTGGGCAGGGGGAACAAGTGAGGGGTAGAATGCTGTTGCTTGTGTGTTCAGCTTTGCCTCATAGCAACCACTGCTTAATCTTCTTAGCATCCCTTAGCTACCTCTGGTGTTTAGATAGCTACAGACTGTGTGTCCCTCCTCTGAAGTGCTTGCCCACAGAAGCTTTTTGCTTTCCTTTTGTTTGGGATCCAAGGATGCAGTATTTGCATACGCATTATGAGAGAGCTTGGGCAAGGGGTCCGAGGGTGAACCGGAAACTCGTCTGGTTCCTGTAAACCTTCTGGGCCCAGCCTGAAGGAAGGTCAGTTTAGAGCATGTGTTGAGTGCCCCTGTGTTTTGATTGCTGGGGGAATTATGCATGTCAATGCTTGAAAGTTTGGGAGTTAGGGCATTTTTGATTTGGGATTTGCAGGTGAGGGATGTTTGAGCTGCAGTGCATTATTTTTACATTGGGGCTCTCACGTTTATTGAGCCTTAGGGGTCGCTGAGAAGGAAGTATATTCTGCCCATAGTTGGGCAGTAAGTGTTCACCTTCTTAAAGCACTACACAGAAGCGCTTTTCACTTGTGGTTAGTATATGGAGTGTGATGAGAATTTACAGTTAATGTTTACATTTAAAGCCTGTCTCACCGTAAAAGACATGTTGACATTAGTCCCCCTCAAAATCCTCCCCCTCGTTTTGAACCCTTCTCTCGTCATCCTAGCTCCTTTCCGAAGCAGTTCTGGAAGTTGTTTTTGTTTTTGTCTTTTTCACGAGTGTCTTTAGTTGAGCGGTTACAGTTGCCTCAGTGTCCTGAACTGATTCAAAACCTTGACACTTGGCAGTTATTTTGACTTTGGGGAAGGGCCAGAAGTGACTCCGGGCTGGATATGGTGAATAGGGTGGATGAAGACACAGCGTCGTGTCTTCCCAGTTCTGCTTTTCTGTTGGGTGGTGCCCAGCAGGACCATTCACTGTGCTTCTGATTATACTTGGAAAAGACTCTCGTGAAAGAGCACTTCCAGAACTGCTGCAGAAATTGCAAGGATGATGGGATGAGTGAGTGAGAAGAAAGTGGGAGGATTTCAAGGGGGGATTCCTGGCAATACGTCTTCTACTGTAACGAGTTGTTTTTCCATTTCAACATCCAATATACGTGTTCGACACACCGCATAAGGACGCTTTGCAGTGATACTCTTTCTGTATTTTGGATCACAGGCAAGTCGATCTGGAAAGCCTTCTACTTCACACCCAATTTCAATCCTGGGAGTGCCAATGGATGCTTTCAAACGCACGTGTGTTTCTGTTTCGGGAGTTTCATCACCCACCACGACCCGCCTCTGCTGTTCGACATTTCCAGAGATCCACGTGAGAGAAACCCTTTGACTCCAATCACGGAGCCGCGTTTCCACGACATTCTCAGAATCATGCAGGAAGCCGCCGACAACCACACCAGGAGCCTGGTGGAGGTCCCCAACCAGCTGTCTTTGTGGAACGTATTTTGGAAACCGTGGCTCCAGCTCTGCTGTCCCTCAGCCTCTTCTTTTCTGTCTTGCCAATGTGACAGAGAAAAACAGGGCCAGAAAATGAGCCAGTAGCCTTGAGCCATTCTGTGTCTGGAGACGGATGGATGCATGTTCCCGAATCCCTGAATCTGCCGTCTTCATCACAAATGCTCCATCTTCTCTTGCTGCCTAGGATGTGTAGCGATTCTCTCTCCTATCCCCAGAAGTCACGGGCAAGACATCAGTGGTTTCCCAGCGGACCAAGGTTAGGGCTTGCTTGCAGGGTCTGCAGCAGAACGTTATGACCTGATGGCTTTCATGGCCACGGTCTAGTGGACTGGGCGTTGCAGGGTGAATGGGTCCATCACTCCTTACACCTGTGCAGACAGGTGAACCAGATGGAGTGCTCATCCCCCAGCTCTCAGGATCATGTTTATTGCCTGATCTTTTCTGCTTACCTCCAGGGCCTCCGAGCACAGTGGCAAGAAGACAACTACAGTTTAAAGACTTCAGTAGATGTTAACATATTCAGCTTTATAATAAATGAAGAGCCGTCCTCTTTCCTGATCAAAGAGGATGGTGCGTTCCTATTTGGTTATAGGAAGGCAACTCAGTATTATTGTTATGACAGCAAACAGTAAATGCTTTCCACCGTATAGATAGATAAACAGATGTGTGGATACATATATGTATGGTTTCTTTCCTTGAGAAGTTTAAGATGTGTGGGGAATGTCGGCATTTATCACTGTTTAAGTAAATGTAATCAAAGGGCCTAAAGAGATTTGGGCAGTGAATCTATTGCAAAATCTATCAACACAAATAAGCCCAAGACAGAGCTCTTCCGAACTGATTTCCAGTCCATTATCAGAAGTGGTATATCTTCTAGTTTTTTGTTTTGCTTTTTTGGTGAGTGAAACTGGGAGTGGGGGTGAGGGTGCTTCTACATCCTCAGGAACATAATTCAGAATTACTAACATGGAAAATACATGCTGCCCGGGGATGGCAAGGAGTGTAACCCATTATTTCTATACATAAAAGACATGATCTTGATTTTGACGCAAGAAATGGTGAGGAGAAATCATTAGGTAATGTTGATACTTTTCAGTGCTTTTTGCTTTTAATCTTGTGACTGAAGAACGTAAGTTTGTGATCGACCATTAGATATGAGATGTGATCACATACATAAAATATGTGACTTCAGTTTTAATTCTTCCCCCAAACCTCCATAGTTCCAGAAAAATCATAACTAGGTCACAGAGGAGATGGTCATATGTTTCCAAGTAGGTCTTAGGGAGCTATTCCTCCACCATTGGGCTTTGGAATCTGTCATTTCTTTTCCATGCAGTGCGTCCTCCAACCAAATTAGATGCCTTTATGAGTAAATGGAGAAAAGACAAGATGTCCCTGCTTACTGGTCTTCCATCAATTTGGGGCACACATGTGGGCGTGCTCTGTTTGCCCAGCACGGATCTCCCTAAGATCGCTCAGGTGAATGGGTTACTTAGAGGTCTTGTGGCCATTTGGAGAGAGATTGATGTCTGCCTTGGGCTTTCTGAAAGTTGATCCAAATGTCCTGTGTTCCTCTACAAACCAACTCCCAGAATTCCACATCATTTCACCAGCTTTTTCTCATAGCTCTTCTATTTGATTTTTGCTTGCCTTTTCTGGAGAACAAAACAAAATGCCATAAAATGAATGGGATTCTTTCTACTAACTTGAATTCCTTAGCCTGGAAATTATGTGAAATCTGTTAGTTTTAGGAAATGTCCTTCCCCAAAAGCGAATAGTAAAGTTGGTGATGTGTAGAGATTTTCCCTGAAAGCATGAAGGAAATTGGTGATTTCTAAACACAGACTTTAGCATGACATTGTTTACTGGAGAAACCAATGCAAACGGACTCATAGGACACACTGAAGGTTGTTGGGTGGGGGTGTCAGTGGACTTAGTAGAAAAGAATCACTGTCATGGTGCTACGACCCATCTGGCTATGGAATTCATTATTTAATGTAGGAAATGTCAACAGGATATAAAACACAAAATACATCTCTTTCTGCATAGGCACTGAGCTTAAAAGTGCCTCAAAATTAAACTTCAGGGGATTTCAAAATCATGTTTATTTCTAATGACCCTGGATTTCACATCATTTACCATCTGAAAGTTCTGCTTTGAATGAATAATAAGAAATTTTATTTTGGGGGAGAGTGGGGGAGAAGTCCAGGAACAACTTAACAAATCTCGAAGGCACTGCTCTTGTGCATTGTTGTAATAATTTTACAGAGCTGTAAGGCATGGCTACATATTTTCAGAGCATCCTATAGATACTACTTCTCTAATTCTGTATCCAGACCTCACTGCATTTTGAGACTTTCAGCAAGTTCTTTGAAGCGAAATTCAGGGCTGGGGATTTAGGTCAGTGGTTCTGCTGCCAGCCTCACAAGCACGGGGTCCCGAGTTGGATTCCCGGTACCATAAATAAATAAATTCATTCATTCATTCATTCATTCATTCATTCATATTCCTGGCATTATATCAATGTCAAAAGTTAAGCAAACAGTTCGGTAATGTGTACTTGGGCATCATTTTTACCAGGTCTCTGGCCCTACAGGAAAAACAAGATTGCAACTGACATATCTATGTAAGGGGGGCTTGAAAAGAGGAGGGCAGTGTGTCAAAGTCCCCTGAAGGACATGCAATGTAGAACGAGCAAAAAACAAATAAAAAAATGAATAAAAAAGAATATGCACACTAAAATGCTACTTTCAAAACGATTGCATCAAAAAGAAAAGGTTCTTTACTGCATGTTAATGCAAAGCTAAATAAAATACTCACTGGCCATTAGAAATGGTGCAGATTCTCTGCTTTCCTGCGTGACTCGGTTTCCTAATGTGCGGCATGTTAACCCCGTTTCCAGCAGGATGTTAGCAGTGTTGGACAGCAAGTCATCGTGTCCCTTCTTAGCTGGAGAAAAAGGCTGAAGCATGCAAAGGAGAGTAAGAAGCACTGTGGAAATCGCTGTGGAGACACCTCAAAAAACTAAAACCAGAAATTCCAGTTCTCCCGGCTGTTTCGCTCCTAGGCATCTTCCCGAAAGAGTTCAAATTTTTGTATTACAGGGATCCGTGTTCACAGCAGCATAGCTCATAATAACTGAGTCTCAGAAGTGGCCTGTAGGTTCACCAACAGATGACTGGATAAAGAGACTGTGGCATTAATAAATCGAGTACTACTCTGCCATAAACAAGGATACACTTGAGTCACTTTTAGGAAGATGGATGCACCCAGAGACCGTAATGTTAAGAAAGTCAGACACATGAGTTTAAACCCGAAGTATAAAAAAATTAAAGAGCAAAATGACAGATAGGTAATAGGAAACAAGGAGATAGCTCTTTTGCAAATGGGCAGGGGGTCCAAGAGATGGAAGAGGGGGAAGGGAGGAAAGGAGCAGGGGAGTTAAGAGAATTAAGTTGTGTCATATATATGCACCAACTCCCGTGTGCTAATAAAAATAAAATCTTTTAAGAAAGAAAACAGCCCCTTTATTCCAGAGGATAGAACAAAGCTAGATTATTACCATGTATGGATCTCCTCCCAACAATGTCTTAGTTCACTTTGAAATCATTAGGGTTGGGGATGTAGCTCAGTGGTAGAGCAGTTGCTTAGCATGTGTCCTGAGTGCCATCCCCAGCTCTGCAAAAAGCAATCAATCAAAATAAAACCAGAAGAAAACAGATACAAACACGGAAATCTGAAGACCGTACTGGACTTGGTACCAACACGGTCATCAAGTGTGTTTGGTTGTGCATTTGTGCGTTTAGTAATAAAGCATGGTGTCTTTTTTCTCCGTGGCCCATCAGAGTCTTAACGGGCCCAAGGCAGAGACCTTATGCTGATGAGCGATTGCTTTGCTCTAATATTCAGGACCTAATTTTAATGCCAAGAACTCTTTCCTTTTTTTCTCTTTGCAAATGGATCCAAAAAGAGAACCATACCAGAATCAGAGAGTAATGTCTGCTCACCCAGGCAGTGGGCCACGTTCCTCCCTGTCCACCCTCCAGGTCGTATCTGATCACCCCAATACCCCATCACGTTCTTGACCCTCAGCCTTCCCCAGGCGACTTCTGCTCTCTCTGCCTCGTTATCTTTATCAAGAATCCGCGTAGATTGCTTTACCAGACGCCCTCTCACCCCAGAGGTCTGCTCTTAGGAACTTTCCACCCCTTGGACCCCACCTGCTCTTAGACTGTGGGTTCCCACCTCTCCTCACCTCTCTGTTCAGAATTGAACCTCACCTCTCTGCCCCGCTACAAGACCCCATTGGCAAGAGTCCTGGAGAAAGTCTTCCTTAGCCAGTGCCGGAGAGCGTCTCTGGGTAGAGTTCTCATCACCATCCTCTGTGGCAATGGCCTGAGGCTTTTCTGGTAAGCTTCCAAAGACCCTGACTGTCCCCAGGTTGCTGACACCATTGACTGCTCCTGTGTGGTGAGTCCTTCTTCTGGTGCACGTTATGCGCTACAATCTCTCAGTGACCTAGCTTGTGCCTGAAGGACTGATGACCCGCTCATGTTTAACAGTGTCACGTCCTACATTGAGCAGAGCTTTTTCCAGTTAGGAGATGCCACCTCCTCCAAATAGAATGCTGCAAACTGAAAATATACTGAGGTGTTCATAAAGTTAACATTGTCAGGTAGCACTTTATAATTAAAAAAAAAAAAAAAACAAAAAAAAAACTGTAATGGCCCTTCCATGTAGGAAACCTTCAAAATCAGCAGCTAGAGATGGTGCTGCTCATTAAGTTTAAATGCTTTGAGTGATTTTTTTTTCATAAAGCTAAGTGCGTCCTAACTCAGAAAATAATATAACATCTTCAAGGAAGATAATTGTATAGCTCCTGAGTACACCTGACATAAGAAAATGTCAGCACTTTGTGTGAGAGTGTGTGTGTGTGTGTGTGAGAGTGTGAGACACTTGCAATTGAATCCAAAGAGACTTGATATTGAACTACATCCCTGACTTCTCACCGCACCTTTTATTCTTTTGGAGACAGGATATTGCTAAGTTACCCAAGAAGGGCTCAAACCCGCAAACTTCCTGTCTCAGCCTCCCAGAGTGCTGGGATTTCAGTTGTGCACCACCATGCTCAACTAGGCACTTTTGTATCGAGGTCTATGATATAAATTGGCTTCCTCCATTACAGGAAAGTCTAAGGTTTCATGTTTCAATATCTACTTTAGATGCTGGTATTTTTCTAAAGGCGACTTTCCAATGAATATTGTAGGGTGGTTTTTTTTTTATTGTTTATTGATACATTTTAGGTGTACCGTACAGTTACATTCATCATTGGGATCTTGGACCTTTACATGACTTGTATTTGTTCTTATTTTTTCCCCATGCCCAGCCCACCCTTCCCTGTTTAAAATGACCTTGTCTTCGTGTTTTTCCTTTTCTCATATTTTTTTCTTTGGCTTTTTACCTTTCCCCTACTCCTGCCACTTCCTCTGCTCTTTTAGACTTTTTCTTCTTATTACACAATATCAATTATACATTTTTATCCTTATTTACGGTTTTAGTTTTTCACACCAGAGAAACTATTCAGTAGTTACACATGTGTGACATTAATTTCACTTAAGAGTATGGCCTCACTGTGCATCCACTTAGCTATATAATGCACTGGTTTCTCATTATTTATGGCTGAGTAGTTGTACATTTTATAAAAAATAAAATAAAATCTTTATCCATTCTCTGGTTGGTGAGCAACTGGGCTGTTACCAAGTTTTAGCTATTACAAATTGTGTCACTATAAATATGGGTGAGCATATATCACTGTGGTATGATTCTTTTAATTCTTTTGGGAAGATACCCAGCAGGGGAACAGCTGGGGCAAATGAATACATGTTAATAAACGAGTAGTTTGCATTGCTTATCAAAATTTATACCATTGAAGTCTAACAGGCAGGCAATACATCCTATATCATATATACATACACATATATATATATATATATATATATCTACATCTACATCTATATCTATATCTATATCTATATATGTATATTTTAAATATATATATCATATTTCCAAAGAGAGTTCATATTCTTTACTGGGCCTTACCTAGACCAGTAAAAGAGATCAGCTATACAACGTACTCTTTAACATTTTAGGGCAGTTCTTTGGATTAAAAAATAAAAAAAGGCCTTTCATATACTGGTCTTAGTTTATTTTTTTGTTTTGTTTTGTTTTGTTTTTCTTTGAGACAGGGTCTCACTGTGTAGTTGAGACTGGCCTGGAACTCACTCTGTAGCCCAGGCTGGTCTTGAACTCACAGTGACCCTCCTGCCTCAGCCTCCGGAGTGCTGGGATTACAGGCGTGGGCCACCACACCCGGCTATACTGGTCTTAATTTAAATGGAATCCCCATCTATGTGAATATCTCAATCAGATAAATGTGGGTTAAAATACAGTGTATTGTGGATTTGATGTGAAATGATACCCAAAGAATTAGGTGTTGAAAGCTCAGTCCCCAGTGCACTACAAAGTTGGATCAAAAAGGCTCTAACTTAATGAATGAAGAGTTCCGTGAGATCAAGAGGTGGTACACACTGAGGAGATGGGGTGTCGTTAAAGGGAGAGGGACGTGACTTTGGGCCCTAAAGCTGGGGTCTCTCTCTTCCTCTCTCTTTCTCCCTGTCTGTCCCTCTGTCTCCCCCACTCTCCCTCAGCCCTTTCTGTCCTCCCCGCTTCCTGGATGCTATGAGATAAGCAGCGGTCCTCTACCACTTCTTCCCCTGTGATGTTGCGGCTGGACACAAGCCTGAAATCAGTAGAACCGTGGACCGGAACCTCTGAAACCAGAATAAACCAAAATAAAGTGAGCCAAAATAAACCATTCATTTTCACTCAGCTGCACCTCCCTTGAGTGTTTTTCCCAAAAAGCTAAAGACATCGTAGTATATTGATGCATGCATACCCACGTGTATAACCGCACAGGTCTGAAGTGCCAAACTGAAAGTAGCTTCCATGCTTAAACACAGACACATGAGTAAAGACTATGTGGTGTGTGACACAATGGAGTATTTCTGCGTCTTTAAGCGGATAAATTTGGGTCATTTATAGGGAAATATAAGGAGCTTCAGACCATAATTTTAAGGGGCAAGTCAGAAACAGAAAGGTTCTTTATATATTCTCAATATTAGTCTTTTGTTTGAAGAAGAGCCAATAAAAATATATATATATAT